TCTAAAACCATCTCATATATGTATAGTATTTGGAAAATAAGTTTCAGGCGGGACAGTGCTATAGTTATTGAGGAGTAGTTGTAATAAAGTGCGTATTTTAGCGTTACCAAGAGAATGACAGATAGACAGACAGACAGACAGACAGACAGACAGACAGAAATTGAGATAAGGTTTGATTCGGTTTCTCTGACCTATGAAATGTAAAAATAACCAAAAAGTTCATTATTCTAAGCAATGTACAGACAAAACTCTAATTTTATTTATATAGAAGATATTAAATTAATCTGTCATCCTCTTACAAAAGAATTGAACGTATCAATGATTAGCATTACACATAGTATAAATAAGTCAACCCTCAGTATGTCTTTACATTTTTATCCATGTTTTTATCCAAATGCTGAATTTGTGACACAAAAGCTGAATGTTTACAGCTGTTATGTTAAGCAAATTATTTTATGCCAAAAGCTAGTTTAGAATCTTAGCGTCGGCTGCTAGACTTTTTAAAAATTAAAACTTAATTTCTAAAAAACTGGGACCCTAAACTAAAATTATGGCTTCGACATTCCCTAGTTCTCAAAATTATCTTTCTTTCAACACAAAAATCATGAAAATCCGTCGAGTGGTTGATTCAGAATCGTAAAATAAAAAACACTGTTTCGTTTTAATATTATAGATTCTATAAACGCCATCAGGGTGTATATAAAGTCCCGCACGGGCTTATTATTTTCTAAACGACAACAGATAAATCAATATGATTTGGTACATCAACACCACACCTAAAAATCTACTTTTAGCGAATTTCCCTATAGGGAAGTAGCTATTACCGTAGGTCTCATGGTAAGACTTAGGCCCGGGACCGATTTACTTTTTCATTTTAATGTCCCCAGAGGCCAAAAACACCATTCGTTCAAATTTTTATATATGTATATATATATATATATAGATTTATATATATATGTGTCCGTGAACACGATAACTTGAGTAATTTTTATCCGATTTTGATGAAATTTGGTTTGAAGGTGTAAGGCGGGATAAACTTGAATGAGTTCGCGATCCAGCATGATCGGACCATGGGAACAGGGTTTTATGGGGGGTTTTATGGGGTAAAAATTGGTTTTTCTCACTTTTTACCCTCAAAACACAAAATTTCCCAATTTTTCTCTACACCTTCTTAAAGAGCTTAAAAAAAAAACAAACAATTCAGTATATCAAAGTGTTTTTGTACGGTTATTGGTTACGGAGAAAACTAAAAAAAATGGTAAATTTAAAATTCCCATGTTATTCTTATGGAGAATATTGTAAAATGTTGTAGTTTGCTTGTTTATGGATATATTTTGATCAAACTTGGCAAATTTATTTATTTTATAGTAAGCTATCAATATTTTACTAAAAACACACTACTTTATTAGTTTCCTTGTAGCAGCAAACCTAGGTACTCGTTAAACCTAATGTTATTTAAATAGATCAATTGAAAATCAATTCGGCCAAATGGAAATTCGCTTAGACGGCAGGTTTGCTGCGGCGGGGGTATTTTATTTTTCTTGTTTCTGCCATTTTAAATCTTTGAATGGCTGTCATTTTTACTCGGTTGTCCGTTTGAGTTCAAATTGTATTCTGCTATTCAAGGCCTTTAATTCGATGTACAAATCAACCTATATTATGCTCCTTATTAAGATTTCATTCTGACTCCTTGCGGGACGTCCTCATGATATGACAGAAAATTGATAGTTCCTTTAAAAAGTAGATTTTAGGTGTGGTGTTGATGTAACAAATCTTATTAATTTGTCTGTTGTCGTTTATAAAATATTAAGCCCGCGTGGGACTTTATATACACCCTGTATAACAGTCATGCTTGATTCATGATATGCAATATGAAGGTATAACCTATTTCGAATAAACATAATATGCGAATTCCACTAGACTATATTTAATTTATTGCATTACAGTACAGATTATATTCTGCAGGTTTTAGATCAGAAAATCTGTACGTTTCGTTTAGTTCTTTTCTAAAAGTATAGACATTTTTTATGTATCCTGTTTTGTATAACAACTTCAAACTCATCTCACTGGAACATACTCATCTGAACTGGAACATAACAAATGTTCAACTTTAACATAGGGGGGAGTCCCAGAAGACAATGTCAAACTAATTCCACCGAATGCTATCCTGAAAGGACTACAACTTTTATTCCAGCTGATGATTCCCTTCTTCAACTCCAGTCAAATTAGCTAAAGCAAACAGATGCTACCTGACTTAGTAAAGCCATAGACTAACCAACACAAGGACTAAACAAAACACGACCTCTACAGAAAACCGTACAGAACTAACAATAAAATTGTCTTCAGCTGTTCCATAAGGATGAGAAATCTACTAAGGGAGTATGTTTTATCTATGGTAAAGCTCTACAATCAAGATTTGGGTACAAGTGAGTTGCTCAACTCCTTGGCTCGACATGGAGATTCCATTACAGTATCACCGATACTAGGATTACATCTGATAGCGATACTACCACTACTAGGTGAGGCAACTTCCAACAACACGACAGGAAGTGACGCCCCATTGTCTATCTGTCGCGTCCAGGCGAGATGGTCTGTATAGGCAACAAGCTTAGCCAATCAAGATTAAGTTAGTCACTAGAAGCGCAGGACATGTGAGCAAGCGGCTGAGGTTAAAGTCCTTCGAATCAAGAGTTTCTGGCTAAGTGATATCATAGACGATTAGAATTGATTTTAAAACGACATCAGTGCTGTGATTAGCATAAGTTCTGGAGTCCACCGCTGGAGCGCCGTGTAGTTTCGACGCTCGCACTACGTACTACATGATTGCTATACAGCACTCCTAGCTATAGACGCCAGAACAAATTCTAACCTCAGCACGGCTGATATTTAATTCTATTTGTCTATGGTGATGTTGATATAACTCATATTATATTATATTATTAGTGGTTCGAGCCTACTTTGCTGCTTCAAGGCGAGGAGAGCTTATTCTGTTTCGGAGAACATCCTTCATTAAGTGACATAACTGAAAGTTCTTTTCAGTTTGTATAGGTTGCCGTAACAGTAAATATTTTGTTGGGAATCTTACTGGATCATTTGTTTGCTTGAACTTTTGACGACGGATACACTACCATTCCTACCTTAAAGTGTAGCCATTTTTAGAACTTAGTCGAACAAAATTACAATCTTTTTAAAACATTACTTCAAAAATACAGTGTAATGTAAAATGCTAAATTGAAAATTCAAGTTTGTTGAAAACTAATGAGAAATCAAAGTTTTATTGCCAACATTAATAGCAGCATACCCGAACAGCGTAATCGGCCTAACAGTTAATATTGAACATATCACTACCATTAAACACTGCAAATTGTACGTAAACATTTACAAAGTGAAATTAAATTAATATTTATTAATAGGAATGAATTGCTGGCCTCAATAAGCAATATCAGTTAAGCAATCGAACAATTAAAATCAACTACAGTAATTCCTTTCCGTCATTTAACAGCAAATGTGTATTAAAATTCAAAACCGTCCTGAATGAAGTAATCTCAATCTCATTACGTAATTACAGTTATTTGTCTCTAATTAAGTATTGAACTGTCGAGAATTATCTACTAGTTGTACTAGTTTACCTTTATTACATTCACGATCGTTTCATGTTAACTGATAACAATTGTTGCACAATAGACCCATATAAGATAATAGTTACATCATCAATCCGTCTTCACATACATAAATGAGCCATTGTATTGTACAAGGCCGACGCTATTCTTTTGCAGATTAATGTGTCTGTATTCGTTTATAAGCCATGTAAGAGTATTGTATAAAGAGACAAGTTTGTTTTTAACTAGGGATAATTTAATTTGTCGTGTAAAGGTTGCTACATGTTACGGATTTGTTAGGTTATGTTTGTTAGATAACCTTACCTATATAATCGTGCTTTGATAAAAAAAAATAGTTTAGAATAAAAATGCATATACAAAATAATACTGTATACAGGATGGACCAGGTAAAGTATGACAATGGCTAGCGTTTTTATTATGAGGACAGTTAACTTCTTATTAGACTCTCCCCTTTATTTTTAAGATGATTTTCGGGATAATTTTGAATTTCAAAAATATGACCGTAATTTTCCAATATGGCACACAACTTTAATATTCCTCATGGAACACCCAGAATTTTATGATGGTTTTATAGTGTAAATGCAATTAAAAAAGTTATTATTCTTGAAAATCTTTTTCTCTAAGCTACTCGTATAGGAGTAACAGCATGTTTAATCTAAGAAAAAATGACTTGCGGTGTACATTTTGCATCATGTACCTCCTAAACTAGTAATATTAGAGAGAAAATGCGAGAGTAAGTAGAGTGAAAGAGTAAATAAGTCTTAAAATTGCATTTACATCCTAAAAAGACCATAAAATACCAAATTTGGCCTTTTTGAAAGAATGGGACCAATAGTTTTAATGTATTTTATGATATAGGAAAAAGGTAATTTCTTTTAGGGCTTCCTCTCCCTCTTGAATTGAATTTATTTCTAGAGTTTGCTTTCAACGATCCAGTGATACCAACCAACTTTCTTTGTACAGTAACGGTTTGATTGTTAGCACAAAACTCTATTCTGTGATGTTAGTACTTGTGATGTAACAAGACACAAAACCGTTCGTGAAAACGGATTTTAATTAGGGTAGGTCTGTTTTGAAAATTAATTGTAACGTGGTTGATGTAAGCAAATCGCTATTCATGGTGAAGATCTTAAACTTACAATTTTTTTTCCAAATTAGTAGTCTTTCACCTAAATAACCGTCTTAAACAATCATAATGTGTAAAAAGTAAAAGGGTATTTAATTTTGTTTTCCTCGGAATCAAGTATCTAAGCCTATTCAAAGTGCAACTTGCGCAAGGGTACCCTCGTTGCTCATTAAATACGTTTTTGAACATATTACAATATCTTAAAATTCTCACTGTATCTTACAAGAAAACGTTTTAATTTAGTTGCTAACACAATGCTTTCAAAGACATGTACGCAGGACGATCCTGTAGAAGTAACAGAAACAGACACCACAGGTGATGTTGAACATGAAGATGAGCTTAAGGTCAGAGGTTGCGAGTTGACCTTGAAGCGTTGAGATGCCCAAGGTCACGGACACATTTGACCTTTGACCTTCCTCAATCGCCAGCCAAGACGGTGTAGTAACTGTCCTATTAAAGTTTATTGAGGGAAGCTTTTTTTTTTAAGTATAATACTTGAGTAGTATTGCGATATAAATAATTCATTGTCTGGTGTTGTACTGTGTAAAAAATGTTGTTTCACAAGTTTCGATATTTAAATCGATTGAAGTATATTTCTTAAAGTTTATTCAATTATTCACTGAATCAATGACTGCATACACACATTCCAGGGTGTTGTAACACGTCAGGGATAAACAAAAGGAGGGATGTTAAAGTGTAGCTAAGTCGGTTTCTGTAAAGTAAAATATGTTGAACTAGAGCTCGCCCCTTGGTCGAAAACTCGACCAAAAGTATGTATTGTCATAGATAAAACATAGTGCAAACTTCTCTATTTTCTTCCCACGCTGTAAATAAAACATGTGATTTGAATTTCTTCCATTTGTTTTGATTTTGTGTTTATATTTTTTTGTTAGGCCTACTGTATTTCGTCACCAGCATGGCGACCCATAAAAAGTCCATGTTAGTTTATTAAATTGTAAATTCATTTTTGTGCTTATTTTTGAGTCTATTTTAATTTATAAAGGAAATCTGCACATCTACAGGCAAATGCCTATGTAACAGTATGCGTAGATTTACCCTGTGATGCACAGGAGCTGAGAAAGTTGAATTTCCATTTTTGACCAAATTAACATAATATTCTCAAAATACAAATGAAACCTGCACATATAGGACCGATAACCTTTCTTTTGGGTACAACCCGCGTGCAATGTGGTCCAGTAGGATAGTAGTACTGGCCAGGCTAGCTGTCATAAGTTTTGCAAACGGTTTTATATCTATATAAATAAAATTAGAGTTTTGTCTTTACATTGCTTAGAATAATGAACTTTTTGGTTATTTTTACATTTCATAGGTCAGAGAAACCGAATCAAACCTTATCTCAATTTCTGTCTGTCTGTCTGTCTGTCTGTCTGTCTGTCTATCTGTCATTCTCTTGGTAACGCTAAAATACGCACTTTATTACAACTACTCCTCAATAACTATAGCACTGTCCCGCCTGAAACTTATTTTCCAAATACTATACATATATGAGATGGTTTTAGACGTATTTCATCGAATATGAGACAGTTAGATATTTAACAGTAAACCCTTGAAAATCAAGTTTTTGTCGATTTTTGACGTGGAATTTCTGGAAGAATGTTGCTTTGTTTACAACTAATCATATGCACATGGTTTTAATTGAAATACAATCTTAATTTTGACATTGGCATACAGCTGTGATTAGAAAACGTTAGCCTATTTGAACTCAAGGTTAACCATAGCCTTATCGATTCACACAACTTAAAAACCATACGAAATGTATACTATATTATATAACTGAACACCAGTTCTGCTAATTATAACAATGGGTTTTGTACATTTCATCCATTACCGTACAAATAATTAAAATAATAATACATTAATTGGTTAGAAGTAAATTTAATTCAAATTACAGATTCAATACAAAGTATTCAATATAAAAGTTAAACATTTTAGATAACAAAATTACGATCAGCTGATTGTTATTCTTTAATATCTGTGCGCTACTAACCAGCAAACAAACTTGACCAGTTTATTATTGTTCATTACTCTTTACACCAAAATAAAAGTTATAATAGTTAATAATGTCCTAAATTATTTCACGTTTATAAATAAAAGAAAATCTACTCTTCTTTTAATTTATTTTTTTTTGAGGTAATGTTTTTAAAAAAGTTCATATTCCCATATGAATTTGCATCAATCAGATGTTTCATACTGTACAGTAGAGATATTCGTTGACATAGTGTCAAACACAAATTAAATTTGTTTACAACTAAACATATGGACAATATTTTTGTTGCTTTAGTTGAGAGGTTACAAGTTAATCTTTAATACATTATTTGTTGAAATATTTTCTATTGTTTCTAAATAAATATGTCCTGAAGAGTATGCCTCGCAAGAGAAAAAGCAATTTGGGTAGAAAAACAAATAATGCCAAGAGACAAAAATTGTGTGTATCCACGGAATCAGTTGATTATGATGATTCGGACTCTGATGATGGTGTACATAGCAATAATGAGTCGACAATTTTAAGTTCCGTTGTGGTTGAAGATTATGCACGACCTTCAACCAGTCGAGAGCGTGTCGCCCTATTTAGGTCTCAGCAGAATGAAAAAGAACGTGAAAGCAGGCGAGACACTGAACGTTTAAGATTTAGCCAAAGAATACAAAATGAGACGGAAGAGGAGCGAGAAGCTCGACGGAACAGGGACCGAATACGGCACGTCCAGAGAAAAGAAAATGAGACAGAAGAGGAGCGAGATGCACGTCGGTGCAGCAACCGAATACAGCAAGTTCAGAAGAGGGGAAACGAGACAGAGGTTGAGCGAGAAGCACGTCGGAACAGTGACCGAATACTACACGTTCGGGGGAGGGAAAACGAAACAGAGGAGGAGCAAGAAGCACGTCGGGAGAGTGACCGAATACTACATGTTCAGAGGAGGGAAAACGAGACAGATGAGAAGCGAGAAGCACGTCGGAACAGTGACCGAATAATACACGTAAGGAAGAGGGAAAATGAAACAGAGGAGGAGCAAGAAGCACGTCGGGAGAGTGACCGAAAACTACATGTTCAGAGGAGGGAAAACGAGACAGATGAGGAGCGAGAAGCACGTCGGAACAGTGACCGAATACGACACGTACGGAAGAGGGAAAACGAAACAGAGGAGGAGCAAGAAGCACGTCGGAACAATGACCGAATATTACACGTCCAGAGAAGGGAAAACGAAACAGAGGAGGAGCAAGAAGCACGTCGGGAGAGTGACCGAATACTACATGTTCAAAGGAGGGAAAACGAGACAGTGGAGGAGGGAGGAGCACGTCGAAACAGTGACCGAATCCTACACGTTCGCAGGAGGGAAAATGAAACAAGAGAAGAGAGAGAAAGTAGGCAAGAACGAGATAGAGTTCGGCAAAACCAACGTAGGAATAATGAAACTCCTGAAGAGCGGGAAGCTAGACATATAATCGACAATGATAGGTACCGTCGCACTGTTGAAGAGCAAACTCTACTTTTGCATGACGAGGCGACCCGAGTGGAGGAACTTCGAGCAAGCCAGGACATTGCTGACAGAAATGCCCGTGTTGCCGCTGATTCTGAAAGACATAGGGTGAACAGAGTCGTTGAGAGCGACGCAGAAAGACAAACTAGGATCGCGCGGGAAAGAACTCGGCATGTCGAAAGAAATTTAACAGAATGGCGAGACACACACAACAGTGGATTCCAATATGATCCTTTTACACGTTACAGTGAAGCTGCCAATATTGGAGATTTTGATAAAGTTTGTAGGTTTTGTCACGCTTTGAGTTGGTCAAAGGAACCACGTGGAATATGTTGTGCTTCTGGTAAAGTGTCCATACCGTCTATTTTGGAAGCACCTGAGCCGCTACGTACATGGATATCGGACGAATCACCTCAATCGCGAAATTTTCTTAGACATATCAGGGCCTACAATAGTGCGTTCCAAATGACTTCTTTTGGAGGTAATGAAATCCGTGAAGGACCATATATGCCTACATTTAAGGTTCAAGGACAAGTGTACCATTTGATCGGCTCTCTTTTGCCACCCCCTGGACTTCCGCCGTCTTACCTTCAGATTTACTTTGTTGGGGATGACCAAGTCCAGCTTCAAAGAAGGCAAAGTTTATTTCAAGACCTTGATCATGACATGTTGGCCGCTTTGCAAAACATGCTTCAGAATAATAACGCCTACTTGCTCAGCTTCAAAACTACTTTAGAAACATTTCCTGTAGATTCACCTGATTTCAAAATTGTTATTAGAGCCGACAGACGCCCTGCAGGGGACCACCCAGGTAGATACAATGAACCAACAGTCAATGAGGTTGCTATTTTGATGATTGGGGATCCAAGTGACCATCGAGACATCATTTTAAATTCAAGAGAACAGGGTTTGAAACGAATATATGAAACCCACCGATCTTATGATGCCCTACAATATCCCCTTATGTTTTGTAGAGGCGAAGATGGATATAGTTTCAATTTATATCATGTAAACCCGGTTACTAAACAACCAACCACAAAGAAAACTAGCTCACGAGAGTTTTACGCCTATCGCATTATGGTTAGAGAAGGTGAAGCAAATCACATTCATAAATTCAAACAGCTTTTGAACCAGTACTTGGTGGACATGTACGCTAAAGTTGAGAGTGAAAGGCTGCTGTATCTTCGTACGCACCAAAAGGAACTGAGAGCAGAGAATTACATACACCTTCAAGACGCTTTAAGACGAGACGACAACGTAGAAGAAATGGGGCAAAAGATAATTTTACCTGCCACCTTCACTGGAGGTCCTAGATATATGCATTCTCGCACACAGGACGCCTTTTGCTATGTTCGGAAGTTTGGTCGTCCAGAACTTTTCATAACAATGACAACAAATCCAAAATGGATAGAAATCACGAGTGTAATTGGAGAAAGGCAGTCTGCTCACGACCGGTATGATGTGGTATCACGAGTTTTTCATTTGAAGCTTAACTGTATGATTGCTGTTCTTATGAAAGGCCAGATTTATGGCTCAGTTCGCTGCTACATGTACTCTGTTGAATGCAGAAACGTGGTCTTCCACACGCTCATATCCTGATTTGGCTTGAAGAATCCATTCCTCCAAATAGAATAGATCAAGTCATTTCTGCAGAGCTTCCAAATCCTGAAACTGATCCTGAACTTGCAGATATAGTCAAGACTCACATGCTGCACGGACCATGCGGAGCTTTTAATGTGCGACAGCGCAAGCTTCCCTGTATGAAGGATGGTCACTGTAGCAAAAGATACCCTAGACCATTTGTCAATGAAACGGCAACAGGAGACAATGGATACCCAACATACAGAAGGCGCTCCCCAGATGATGGAGGCCATCATGTCCTAATCAGAGTAGGTAACGATGAAATCCCTATGGACAACCGATGGGTAGTACCTTACTCGCCTGTATTGTCCGAACATTTCTAACACATGTTAACGTTGAGTACTGTAGCAGTGTAAAATCTATAAAGTACATCTGCAAGTACATAAACAAGGGCAGTGACCAGGCCACATTTGCAGTAAGTAATGACACAGACGAAATTAAAATGTACCAAAGTGGTCGGTATATATGCACATCTGAGGCGGTATGGAGAATTTTATCATTTCCTATACATGAGAGGTTTCCCGCTGTGTTGCATTTAGAGGTCCACCTTCCAAATGAGCAAAGAGTATATTTCCAGCCAGGCAATGTTCGGGAAAGAATGGACCAAAGTACAACTCTTTTGGCCTTCTTCAATCTCTGCCAGACGGACGCCTTTTCAAGAACCCTCCTCTACAACGAGTTGCCCTATTATTACACATACTCTAAACAAAGAGGTTGGTCCAGGAGGCGGAGAGGACAACCAGTACCAGGACATCCTGACGTGAGACAAGATCCGTGCATCGGTAGGGTGTACACTGTCCATCCAAGCTGCAGTGAGCGTTACCATCTCCGACTCCTCCTACACACTGTTCGAGGTCCAACATCTTTTGAGGATCTCAAGACTGTTGATGGTGTGCTCCATCCAAATTTCCAATCCGCATGCCGTGCCCTTGGTTACTAGAGGATGATGCGTGCTGGGAGGGCACTCTTGCAGAAGCTGCTGTTTCTGACAGTCCCACCAAGTTGAGGGATCTCTTCAGTGTCTTATTAGTATTTTGCAATGTGAGCAACCCTCTTGAGCTCTGGATCAGATTCAGAGATTCCCTCTCAGAGGACTTTTTGAGATCTGCACATCAAGTCGACATTAACACCACCTTTGAAAACAATCCTATCATATATGACCAGTGCCTAGCAAGCATTCAAGAGACAATCACTCGCATGGGAGGACTTGGGCTCGAAAGCTACAACTTACCAGTACCAGCCATAGATGTCAATCAGTTAAACCATGATTATATCAGAGAGACAAGTTACGACCATCCGAACTCATTAGGTTTATTGAACAGTGTACGCCAACTCTCAACGAGGAGCAGCGCCAAGTGTATGAGCAAGTTTTGACGAGCATAAATGGACAAAGAAACAAGATGTTTTTTCTTGATGCTCCTGGAGGTACTGGAAAGACCTACCTCATAAAGCTGATTCTCGCAAAGGTTAGATCAAACAGTAAGATTGCTCTTGCTGTGGCCTCTTCTGGCATTGCAGCAACCCTTCTGCCAGGTGGAAGAACTGCCCATTCCATGTTCAAAATCCCAATAAATGTAGAGCATATGGACATCCCGATTTGTTCTATATCGAAGAGCGCTCCCATGGCACGAGTTCTACAAGCAGCCTCCTTAATAGTCTGGGACGAGTGTACGATGTCCAATAAACTGACAATCGAGGCCCTCGACAGAACACTCAAAGATATGAGGAACAGTAATAAGATCATGGGTGGAGTGACGGTATTGTTCTCTGGTGACTTCCGCCAAACTCTGCCAGTTGTAGTGAGAGGCACAAGGGCGGATGAAATTAACGCCTCTATGAAAAGATCTACCCTATGGCCAATAATGAACAAACTGGCGTTAACAAAGAACATGCGGGCCAATATTGGAAATGAGGTGGAAGAATTCTCCAATGTTCTGTTAAAGTTGGGAGATGGAAAGCTGGGTAACGTTGATGGAACTATCGATATACCACCTTCTCTTGGTGTTATTGTTCAAACCCAAGATGAACTCATCGAGAAAGTCTATCCAGGAATTGAAGACCTCCCAAACAAGAGCAGTGCCTGGTTATGCAATAGGGCTATTCTCACTCCAAAAAATGAAGTTTCAACAAAGATAAATAAGAAAGTGATGTCCCTATTCCTAAGCGAGGACAAGACATATTTGTCGGTGAACACAGTTCTAAGAAATGATGACGCAGTGCACTACCCGGCAGAGTTTCTTGACTCGGTGACAGCACCTGGACTACCCGCCCACGAACTTAATCTTAAAATTGGTATTCCCGTTATGCTTCTAAGAAATTTAAACCCTCCTAAATTATGCAATGGGACTCGGCTTCGAATTCGAAGTCTCCAGCGAAATGTCATAGAAGCCGAAATTCTAACAGGCTGTGGTGCGGGAGAAGTGGTGTTTGTCCCCCGGATCCCCCTCATCCCAAGCAACTATCCCTTTGAGTTTAAGCGCCTGCAATTTCCCTTAAATCCATGTTTTTCCATGACGATCAACAAATCGCAAGGTCAGACACTGTCAACAGCAGGGATTGAACTAGGTGACGCGCAATGTTTTTCACACGGACAGCTGTACGTGGCGTGCAGCCGAGTGCGATCGCCAACCAACCTTTACATACATGCCCCAGGCGGTCGAACCACTAATATAGTATATGAAGAGGCATTAAGTTAGGCAACCTTTTAATTTTTTGTGTTTTTTGTTTTTCTTCACTATTTAATATTTATTTTCAATGTATGTCATTTGTTGTTTTTGAAATTTTGATATTGTAATTTCGCTGTGACAAATGTTAAGCGCTTCAACTCTGCTATCTTTGCCAACTTTGTTATTTAAAACTTTCGAATATTTTTTAAGATTTAAGTTTTTTAATGTATTTTTATGTACTAAATTATGTTAAAATAAATTAATCATTGTTATTACAAAAAGTTTGTAACCTTATTCTTGAATAAACCCGTACGAAGAACGGGTACTCACAGCTAGTATATATATATATATATATATATACATATATAAGATACAGGCCATTCAAATATAAGGATATTATTCCAGGACATTCACTACAGCTACAAGAAGACTACTAAGGTAGAGTATATTTAAAATTAACTGTAGCCTCTAAAATAAACCAAAATTTTTAATTAAACTGTCTAACTTCAATGTGAAAAATGTTGACCATTACTAATGTTTTAAAACTTTGACAATAGCTAAAAGTACTTTATGAAAAACTTATTAATGAACACTTTGCAATAAAATGAAGAATACGGACGCCAGATGATGAAAGAGGAATAGGAAGAAGTAAGTCATGATAAAGAAGAGTAGAAAAGTATGTTCTGGAAACGTCGTGGTAGCTACCTGTAAGACGGGTTTTTACGATTTACTTTCCAACGTGAACTTTTCGAAATGACCAAAGAGAATAACTAACAAACATAAAATATTAACAGCATTGAGATCAAAGAAACAAACGCAAGATTCAGTATAAATTGGATCATCCACATGTATTATTTAGTGCGCAAAATTATTTATAAGCAATCGAAGTATGCATGTTGCTAAACGGTGATGCCAAACCACTATAAAATAAATATCTCAAACTATTAGTAGAGTCGCGATTCACGAATGCAATTATTTCGACCAAACAAATCCTTAAACTAGAATGAAAAATGTTTTATTTAATCCATTATCAATCATGAAGATTGAAAACCTGCATTAGATTAATTTTGCTATGCATGTTGATAGTATCTTTTCCTTACAAATAAAAGTATTAATGCTACATCTTTTACTTAAAACTAGGCCTAAGTTATATTTTTTATGTTTCATCTTCATATTCTCCGTCATGACATATAATGTATGAAATGCATACAGCTAGTGTGTTCTGAATAAAATTCTTTTCTATAAATAGCTTGTGGGTCTAGAATGAAAAACAAATGCATTACATAGTGTAGCATAATAAGTATAGGTAGCTTCAAGCAATTTTAATTTGATTTGAATATACTTAAAGTTATTTTCGTTTTAAAGTAAAATTGGGTTCAAATAAAATAATATTACAATGTAGATTGGCTTCCAACATGTATAATACCGGTCTGCCGCTGTTGGGAACGCTAAACGTTTAAAATCTTCAATGACTTCAATGAAACCTTCTCCAAATCCATCATCCTAAAAGGGTAAAACGTGGAACAACGTTCTACGTTAAGCATCTTTTTTCAAATTTGGCTTTATATAGCCTACGGAGGTTTTGTCCGGTTTCTAGTTGCAATATTTATGTTGATCCAAAAGCAAAGCGTTCAGCGAAGAGCGACTACTAGCGCAACCTGTCGGGACATCCCAGAACTGACTGCTCAATGACCTTGCCAATGCCAACAATACAACACCATTGTTGTTGTTGTTATTGTTGAGGCCGATCGCGATTGGATCACGGCGTCGGCGCACCTCAACAATCAACAATACTTCTACATGATCGGTTTATGCCGAGCGCCAAAAAGAGAAGTACAAGGTTTTGAATACAAAGAAAGTGTTTTTGTCGTAGATTATTAGCGAATTCCGATGGAGAATTGAGCTTTTGGCATGATACGATCGTCAACGGCTCCACTCTCTAAAGAATGGATTTGGCTTAATCGCAGTTTATTTTTTGTCAATATGATTCTGTTTTGAGGGGTATCTTATAATTTCTTATGTGATAGTTTTCATTATATGTGTAGTACAATAACACGTGCATTTTTGTGATTTACTCTAAATGTAACAGAAACTCCATTTTTGGGGGAAATCAGACAAAATCACAAGAACACACTCAAAAAAGGTACCATTTTGTTACACTTTTATAATAAAATGTTGGTTTTTATAGTTTTCGTCCAGAAATTGCCTCAGCCCTTACTGTTGTATGCAATAGTACAAATAATGATGTAATACGAATATATATTACATTCTTTTAAGTAGTATAATCTGTTTAAGAAATATTAAAGATTTTGCTTTGGTTAACGTTTAATCAATGGTAGTATGCAAAGTACAATCCGATTTTTAAATACAATCCATACCTATAAATACATAAAATATGTTTCCAGAAAATATGGGAGAGGATGAGTTGCAATATATATCTCAACACTTAAAGTTCTCAACGACCTGTTATTAATTGTGGCAAATATTTATGTTTAAGCCTTTAGGTAATTACATAGTAGCACTTTTAAATATAAAGTCGCCATATCATTAGGACGAATACAATCTACAGCGCAATGTTGAATTTACTTCGTGGGTAAGTTACATTGTAATTTACCTCGCAGCTTTTAAGCTGCCTTTTACATTTCCTTCATAGTTTC